TGATTTTCATATTTATGGGTCTGTCTCACTACTTGTGGCAGATATATCTTGTCTCCAGCCTCGTAGATCTGTATTGTTCTGACAATCACTCACATTGCAATGTCAATTACAGAGCTAACTATTTTACTGGAAGGCCTATTAACTCTAGTGCAATGTATCATGAGGTTGCTATCCTGCTACCGAAGGAATCCATAGTGAGTGGCATTTCTCTGCATGCAACACCAAACGGCAGTGTTAAGGAAAAGGTAATTTCATTATGAAGTAATTTGGACCTATTAGATTAGGGAAAGCCTGTGAGCGCTGCAATAACGGTTGGTCTCCCTGAAGATTAAATATACCTCTTATTTTGATCCTTGTTTCCAATGTCAGTGCTTACAAAGCTAAAAAATTATTTTTGAGCAAAAAAATATTTTTGAACATTGTAGTTTAACATATGCCAGGTTCACATATCATACCAAACCATGAGATGCTTAACTATAGTTTATTGCTTGTATCTCCAGTATGGCACCAACGTGCCCACAGGCATTTCTCTGAAGTTTCTTATGCTCCACACTCCATCTGATATTATTATTATTATTATTATTATTATTATTATTATTATTATTATTATTGGAATAATACTGTATAAAGAACAAACAAAAAGAATAACATCTTTGATAGGAGTTCTTTAGAAATTTGAGTCCCAGCCATGAACCTAGGAATTATCCAAGTTATGTCCTAAGATATAATACATGCCCAGCAAAATAGTTTATTGTAAATATGCAGTTGATATAGCCAAATTATGTAATTCTTCTAAAAATGTGTCTACTCTATTTGTTATTCCACCTAATGCACTAATAATTGCTGGCATGACTTTGCTTTTCCATAATCTATTTTGATCGTTAGATCTCTATATTTTCTTATTTTTTTCTAATACCTTTTTCTGAATTCTATTGTCCTTCAGTATTGCCACATTTATAAAAAAAAAAAATTTCTTTTCAATTATTGCTATATCTATTGTGTTGCGCTGTAGACGGCAATCAGTTTGTATGTAAACATCCCAGAAAATTTCAACATCATCATTTTAAGTAACTTCTCAATTTTGTAATTGTACCACATTCTAGAAACTCGGAAATTATAGTTTTTGCACAGCTACTTTGTCACGATGTTATTTATAGACAGCTTGAGCAATTTTGCTGCATCCACTAATCACATTATCCACAGTTTCATCCTTTTCTTTATAAAGTCTACATTAGCTGCTGTGTGATACAGGCTGAATCCTTGATTTCATCACACCTATAATGCTTCTTCTGGGCTATAAAGAATAATCCTGTTTCTTCTTTGATGTGCCAGCTTGCAACCATTGCCAAATATTGGTCCTATCTGTTTCCTTTCCTTTTCTTTTGTACTGGCCATGTAATGGTTTACTTTTGCAACTCACTTTTATAGTCATTTTTTGCTTCTGCTACTTTCAGGATGTTTTCTTTGCAAACATAGATGAGTGTTTTCTTTTTGCTTGCCTTGATGTAATCATTTAACCCATGTTCTTCTTCTGGAACTGTTTGTCTTACCTGCAGGAAACCACAGCCTCCATTTTTTATGTCACTCAACAGTTCCTGATTGATCTAGTAAAAATTGCAAGAATAGTTTTAAACATGAATTTACCCACCTACTGCTGTTAAATTATTTGTGGAAGCAATGTTTTGCCAAATAAGTGTTGGGCATGAGAATTAGTCTCCTATAATATAAAATTATTGCTTTCTTACCCTTATATAAATCAATGGAAGGTCCACTTCTAATTTCAACATCACTGCCAGTGTACATAGGGCTAAAGCTAGAACTGATGTCATGAACTTGTTCTGGACCCCCCCCCCCCACCGTACTTCAACGTTAATTTAACCCCCGAACCTGGTCCGA